CATCTCACATGACTGTTGGTAACGTGATGGCACTTCTAAATATTATAAAACCTGACCTCTGACCTCTGACCTTCCCCTTCAGGTCAGGTCACTATGATCCGGACGCAGTGAGGTCTTGTGCCCAGACGGTGGCGCTGCACTGGCAGACGCTGATGCTGAGGATCGAGGATCGACTCAAACTGGTCAACGCCTCGGCTGCTTTCTACAGGACGTCCCAGCAGGTGCTTCTCTGAACATCTCTGTCTGTCTGTCTCCTGTCTGTGTCCTCACCTGTCTGTGTCCTCACCTGTCTGTGTCCTCACCTGTCTGTGTGCAGGTGTGTGGAGTTCTGGAGAGTCTGGAGCAGGAGTACAGGAGGGAGGAGGACTGGTGTGGAGGAGGAGACCGGCAGCCGGAGCAGCTGCTGCCGCTCATCAGCAAACACATGGAGCAGAAGGAGGCGTTTCTAAAGGTGAATGAAATGTTACACACTCGTTGTACACGTGTGTGTGTGTGTATCTGTATGAACGCTTTAATATTATAACATGTCTTCACAGGAGACGATTTATGTGAACAGGTGCTATGAACTCAAGTTCAAAGTTTTTATACACAAAAACTTATTATGTTATGAGTTTTTTAAACTACGTTCAGACGAATGTTTGCAGAGAATTATTTTAGTTTTAACTTCAAACTAAAATCAACAGTTATCGACTAAAAATGAGAAACTGCTTCTGTGTAATTCTGAAATCTGTGTGGCAGTATTAATATTCGTACATGGAGTATGAGTCCACCTCTAACGCTCTTGTTCCCATGGCAACAGGCCTGCACGCTGGCCAGACGAAACGCTGAGGTTTTCCTCAAGTACATCCATCGCAACAGCGTCACCATGGCGAACATCTCCGGCCACAGCGTCACCGTCTCCGGGGTTACGGAGGTCACCGGGCACTCCAGGGTTCCAGAGCAGCAGGTCAAAGGTGAACAAACACACGCGATCAGAAACACACGAGTGATTTTCAGTGTTAATAGAAAGTGTAGTGGGGGGGCGGGGGGCGACCCCACCACAGCTCATTAGCGTGTTAGCAGTAACAGTGAGTGTGTTTGTGCTCAGGGATCCTCAGTGAGCTGCTCCAGAGGGAAAACAGAGTCCTTCACTTCTGGACGTTAAAGAAGCGTCGACTGGATCAGTGCCAGCAGTACCTGATGTTCCAGAGCCACGCCCAGCAGGTGGAGTTCACTCCTATTGGGGGATTAAGAGTCACATGCTCGTCTTAGAGAGTCACAGAGAGAGTCTGATTGGTTGACTGTCAAATAGTGAAGTGAAGATAGAACATTAGAAGCATAAATGTGGCCGCAGCTTCACGTGCTCTTTGGTTGCAGGCTCTGGATTGGCTGCAGCAGTCAGGTGACCACTACCTGACCACACACACGTCACAGGGATCAAATGTGTCCGAGACTCAAGAGCTGCTGAACCAACACAGGGAGTTCTGTGTTTCTGCCAAGGTGAGGAAACCTTCAGACGGCAGCTGTGGAAAAGACTCAGTGAAGTTATTTTACTACGAACGTATTTATAGAATTTATAGAAAACTATAAAGTACGGATCATTTCTGTCAGCACACACAGGAGAAGGTTCACCTGCTGATCCAGTTGGCCGAGAGCATGCTGGCTAAAGGCCACGCCCACCGCACCGAGCTCCGTCGCTGCGTCGCCACCGTGGACAAGCGCTACCGCGACTTCACCGTCAGGATGGGACAGTACCGCCACCTGCTGGAGACGGCTCTGGGAGGCTGCTCACAGGTAACAGTTGGAGAGTGTGTGTTCAGTGTGTAGACTGAGCTGTGCTGAGTGTGACGTACGGCTGCTCTGACAGGACAACAAGGACCTGGAGCTGGAGCTGATCCCCAACAGTCTGTCCGACTCCGACCCCGAGGTCAACCTGTCCGACCCCAGCCACCAGGTCAGCGACGAGAAGAGACGCTCCGCACGCAAGAAGGAGTGAGTACACGTGTGTTAGTACCGGCGCGAGCAACAGTACAAGTATTGATGTTTATGAACAGCTGTGTGTGTTCTCAGGTACATCATGGCCGAGCTCCTTCAGACAGAAAGAGTCTACGTCAGAGATCTGCAGGAGTGTATCGAGGTACAAGTACTACACATCTGGAGCTTCATGTCACATGATCCTCCTCCGCTGATGAAGGATCATTTCTATCTTGAGATTTATCACGACGTGTCGTCCAGATTTAAATCTCAGAAGCTCCGGAACTAAACACACGACGAGTCTGAGATTTCAAAACAGCACAAACACACAATGTGACACATCAGCAGCGCCCCCTGCTGACAGACCTGCAGTTCACAGGCGGCCGCTCGTCAGTTCTGGAGTTTGTGCTAAATTCAGGCTTTGGCTCAATATTGAGTATTTTACGTCCTGAAGACTACATTAAAGCAGTACATAATACTTTGTAGTACTACATTATACTGAGGAGTACTTCCTGATATAAATACTGTATTTGGTGCAGACGTACCTGTGGGAGATGACGAGCGGCTCAGAGGACGTCCCTCCTGGTCTCACCAACAAGGACGACATCGTGTTCGGAAACATCCAGGACATCTACGAGTTCCACAACAGGTACTGTCAATTATACTGCAATATATACTACAATGCAAATACTACAGTACCAAACATCCAGGACATCTACGAGTTCTACAACAAGTACTGTCAATTATACTGCAAAAAAATAAAAACTGCAACTTCATTTACTGCAGCACAAGTAAAAGAATATGAACCATTCATAGATCTACAAATACTTTGGATTACACCCCTGCAACATGTACTCCAGAACCTTAAATCTGTATGTAAGCCTTTACTGTAGTACTGCAGAGATACTGTAATGTGTACAGTATTGTGGAGTATTCTCTGTGTGTACATTCAGTGGTTTGTGTTTTTCAGTATTTTCCTGAAGGAGTTAGAAAACTACGAGCAGCTTCCTGAAGACGTGGGACACTGCTTCGTTACCTGGGTAACACTCTGATCAATCAACTCGAACACTCAGTGATGATGAAAGTTATATATTTATACATGAAGTATTTGTGTTTCAGGCTGATAAGTTTCACATGTACGTGACGTACTGCAGAAATAAACCTGACTCCAGTTTACTGATACAACAACACGGCGTGGGATTCTTCGAGGTCAGGAACATGTCACTCTTTATTTATCAGTATAATCGATAATCAATCAAACAAACCGAGATATTTTACATTTTTACTTTTTCTTGGAACACTTTGAATTTAGTGCTTTGAGGTTGAAAAGTAATTAAAGATGCAGTTTGATGTTTTCTGTAGTTTTATCATCAAATTGGAAGAAAGTGTAAATGTCTCATTGACTTGATTATTCTGTTTTACTGTGTTAATGTCTGAAGTTATTGACATAATTCAGATATTTATTCTCTGAATTTAATCTGCAGTTCTTGTGAAAATTAAATGTTGTATAAGTAGATAAATGTAAGATGTGTGAGTAGAAAGAGGAAATAATTGAATTCTGATAAGTCAGAACGCAGCATGTCCTCTGAATACGATTATTACACAGGTGAGAAAGAGTATTTATCACTTTCTGTCCGTCTTCAGGAGGTCCAGAGGAGACACGGTCTCACCAACTCCATCTCGTCCGCTCTCATCAAACCCGTTCAGAGAATCACTAAATACCAGCTGCTGCTCAAGGTGCGCTCGTTTTGTCCCACAGTTCAGTTTGTTGAGTTCAGAGTGTTTTTACATTTGAACACGTTGTCTTAAAGTTTACTGTCATCACAGATGTGTTCTTATACACAGTTCAGTGTTTTATCATCACAGTATAATATTCAATATATTTATATAATCATGATACCTGGTGTGTGTGTGTGTGTGTGTGTGTGTGTGTGTGTAGGAGTTGTTGGCGTGCTGTGAGGAGGGTAAAGGTGAAATAAAAGAAGGACTGGATGTGATGCTGAGCGTCCCAAAGAGAGCTAACGATGCTATGCATGTTAGCATGTTAGAAGGTA